CTGCTTGTTCTTTTTTATAATCAGCAGTGGCAGGCCTGGTATATATTAACTCTTTCAATTTACAGGAAGTTTCTTGACCACTCAGTATAGCAGAATATATTTTCTATACTTTAAATATGGTTAAGCAGAGAAGCCCGAAGTACTTTTCTATAATTAACTGCTCAAACTGTGTTAGCGTATGAGAATAGGTTTCAGAAGTAGATCTGACATTCACCAACAGCCAGGGAGAGGACAGCGCTGATGTCTTTTCTACTTGTGAACTAATGGTTTGATCCTTCGGAGGTGGTGACCTTGATTTCTTTCTGAAAGATACCTGAATTCTGGTCAAGGCTGCTTTAGGGTTGGATGTGCCACGTGACCCATCTCAAAGAGGACAGAAGAATAAAGTTTTTCGAAGGTCACATCTCAGCCACTTAAAATGTTTATGTTTTTGTTATGGCTGAAGATTGTATCAGGGCAATTGCAGCAAAAACAACCAAAGTCAAAATGAACCGACGAACACAACAAAAATAGAGAAAGAAAGGGAAAAAAAGAGCTTCCGTCTAGGGTTCAAATGCTTCCACTCGTCAGTCTTAACCTTTTTGATAATTATATTATATGCAGCAGCAAAGAAACTAAAGGGGATAAAGGTCTTAAGAGTTATATTGATAAACTATGTGTGGTGCTCAAAAATGGCATGGAATATCTTGTTTAAGCTGTAAAAATATATCAGCATGTCATGTTATCTTCATAAATTCTTCTCACACATAGGGTGGGTGGAGTTCCCAAATCCCAAGGCATATTACCAATTGGGTTGGTTGCTACAATTCATCAATTGTTTTGTCACATATTTGCAGGCTCACAGTTGGGACTGAGGTATTATGATTCTAGAGGGTTTGATAATAGGTGAATTATTAGCTGTTGGGGACAGATTTGTTTCTGAGCCATTCTGTGGCAGTCTCTTATATAGGAAGGCAATCATTTTCACGGAGTTGGCTCCCTCAGACTTAAAGAGATTTTGAATATAGCTTGTAATTTTTTTCCTAGTAAAATTTCATTAGTGGTTAATTATGATTGGTAGAGCTTACCGGAAGTTCACCAAGTGTGTTGAGAGTTCAAACATGGCCAATTTTAAGCAGTGTCATGATGGGATGGACAGCTCTTGGTATTCTCTGTTGCCATGTTTATATACACAGTCTATCAATCTTCTATGTATTATCACATGTTGAACTTGTGATTTTAACCTTTTTGGAAAACAAAAAGGACTTTTAGAATTGACTTTTCTTAGTCTGGGCAACTTTACCTTTTGGTTTTTGAGCATTTGCCTCGTACTGTATGATTTGGGGTAAGAAATAATTCGAGGAATGTTTAAACAGCATCTAACCTTGATAGGCTGCAAGAATGCTTTTTGTGGATGTTATGTTGCAAATCAAGACAGATGAACCCAAAGTGTGCTTAAGTCTGGTCAGTTCCGTCTACAAGTTTCTCAAAGAAGCCAGATTGTATCTAAGGCAGATTAAGCAGAGTTAATTTCTCCTCTAAAAGTGCACATTTGTAAGAAACACGAAGATAAAACAAAGGGAATATAATAAACTTCCCCATAGATTTTTATGGAAGTTTCAAGTTTCTATTTTAGAAGGGTATCCTCATATTTAGATAGGTACTTTAGTTCACACATTTGTCATCAACTCCAAAATTAGCTTGACTATTAAAATTATTATTGCTTATACTTTTTTTCAGTAAGGGCAGAAGGCAATGCAAATAAGGGAGGATTTTAAAAAATCAATACAAAACATAGTTATATTGAAATGATTAGATAATTAAATACATGATTTAAATTATGCTGAATCAAAAGTTTTTGCCAGGACAATAATGCTGTCAGAGTTTTGCACTGTCTTTCCTCTCTGTTTTACTGGAGACTGGGTTTATCTGAAAACTGCATCTATGATCTCCTAACTGGAGAATATTGAAAGAGAAATGCAAAAACTTTATTAAAAATGGAAAAATGGTCATCTTGCAGTAGATCTCCCAAATGGCAGCTGCATATATAGCAAACATTCCAGAATACTGGAATAGATTTAAAATATTGCTATTCTTCTGTTTATGTTCTTGCTGTGTTGGGATATAAACATTTTTTAATGAGGGGTATTTCTGTTTCAGCAAAGAATTACGTGGCTGAATTATCTGGGATGGGATTCAGGGCCTGAAAGATATTTGATTATATGCTATAGAGGGCTCATCATTGAAATGAGGTATGAGTGTTAGACATTATATACCCATTCAGCAGTTATGTAAGTTATTTTTGATAAGTGATTTTGAGCCTTTTTTTCAGCCTTATACCTCTCATGCTATTTTGGAGACCCCTTGGCCTAAGGCAGGTTCAGTCCTAGGTTTTATTTAAAAATGCTTTATAGGGGATACAAAATAAATCTAAGTCATAGACTCTATATTCTAGAAGCTTCCTAGAATATTTTGGGAAAGCAGCACTCACTCATAGGAGGAAGAAGACCAATGAGGGCCTAAGGTGCTATGGAATGCTTGCACTTGGGCAGGCAATGAACAGGGAGGAGGATAATCCCAACCTATATTGGGGGTGGGGCATGCTGAATGGGTGTTGTGGTTGAAATGTGTCTGGCATGAGGAATTACATGGCTCTTCTCCCTCAGTCACTTACTCAACACATGTTTATTGTGCATCTGCCATGGTCTGGGTACCTTGGTATGGAACATAGACAATGAACGTAGTTGCTGCCTTCATGACTTTTAAGATCTGGTGGGCGGTAGGCATGAAACATGAAAACAAAAATATGTATATAACAACAAACTATGCTAGGCAATAGTAAAGAAAAGCAAGATGCTAGGAAAGAGATTGTGGATTGGGGAATGCAGGTCTGAAGGAGAGACATTTAAGCTGATTTGAAGGATATACCTATTAAAATATAAAGACACTTCTTATATGGGATATATAGTAGGATATGCTAAAATTAGATAGAATTTCTCCCGAGTTGCTCTTTTATAGTCATGTGTCTGACAAATGAGGTAAATAAATTTTAGGATATGCTCATTTAATTGGCAAGTGTATCCGTCAGAGGTTCACCAGGAAACAGATGCCACCTGCAAAATAGAGAACTTGAGGAGGGTTGAATGAATTTTATAAAGCTGTGGTGATGGTGTAGGGAAGTGACAAGGGATAGAGCAGTATTTTCAGGGCCATTAATAGCAGAGCTGTCACAATCCCTAGACGCAAAGGGACAAGATGGGGGACGTGGAGATCTGAGTACTGGGGAGAGGTAATGCCTTGAGATGAATAGTGACCTTGGTTGAGGGACACAGCAGCCTGAGGTGCCCCCAGTGCGAGAATGCAAGGTGTGTGTGTGTGGGGGGGGGAATACAGCCCGAGATCTTACTCTCCTTTTCCTTCTGCTCACCTGGTAATGATCCCCTTTGGCTGGACCCAACTAGAAGTCATAGGATGATGAGTTTCACATGGGTTGGCCTCCCAGTTAGAGATCATGGTCCAGAAGGCAGAACACGGACTTTGGAGAGAAACAGAAGATAACCTCACATAGCAAGTCTACACGAAGCTCTCACCATAGACAAAGCTCAGAGGTGAGGGGTGTGTGAAAGAACAATAAGCCTTGTGAAAAGATTTATGAAGATTCGCTCTGTTTTGAGTTCTTCTGTGGTGGGCATGATGTGGTCTATCAGAATCAAAAACATGGCTTCTTGAGACTATTATAATAGCTCATTCTTCTAAGAATTTCTCCTACTGGCTCTTCAGACTTCTCTTCCAGGGGCTGTGTTTTCTCTGTAATGTCTGTCACAGTGCCTGAATCACGCTGGGAAGTAGAGCCCCCGTGATGGCCGTGCCACAGGAAGTGTGACGGGCCAGGAACAGCTCACCGCTGAGCGCTTAGCTACCACAGTTACTTACCAGGCACCTTCATTCAGCACATTCCTGCACATTCCTACAATGCCACTTCTCCATGGGACCATTGCTCTGCTCTCTCTTAGGGTTGTTTTGTCTTTCTTTCTTTCTTTCTTTCTTTCTTTCTTTCTTTCTTTCTTTCTTTCTTTCTTTCTTTCTTTCTTTCTTTCTTCTTTCTTTTTTTCCTCAGCAAGGCTGGGGATGTGGAAATGAGGAAAGGCAGAAGCTGACATGTGCTGTAATACTAGCTGACATGTGAACGCTGGGATTCCATGCCAGAGGAAGGAATGGCTGTATTTACCAACCAGCGCCAATCCCCCTTTCCACCTTAGTTTCAAATTCTGCAGGAAAGAGACAGCTCTGAAAATTTACGAGCCACAACTTGCTCTTCATTACTTGATCACAGGGTAAGCAACGAGCACCCAAGCCTAAGGGTCACCTGCGGGTCTGGAAATTTTTGTAATTTTATAGGGAAGTTCATTGGCTGCGGGAGGAGTGATGAAGTCCTGAGAAGCCACTCGTGCACCAGGGATCCGCTAAGTCGTTTTGTTATAAATAAGGATGTACCTATGCACAGAGCTCTTTCATTAGAACGTGTTCCCCAAGCGTGAGAATCTCAGTTAATTGTTACAGTGGCCCCATGGATTGGGCAGGACAGGCCTCGCAAACTTGCTCCAGAGGAGACTTTGAGCCTCAGAGGCCAACACGACCTGCCAGGGTCCTGAGGCTGGGAAATGGCAGAGGTGCTGGAAACGAGCTCCAACTTAAAAAAATAAAAAAATCACAACAGTTTCCAATGGAAGATTTCAAAGCAGAGAACGTCTAGGCCTTTTACTGTTCTCAGAAAATTCGAGAGTGTTGCGAGAATCAGGAACTTTTCCTGGGTTTGTTTATAAATTTGTCCAATGAAAAGAGAACTGTGGTTGGCGGTAAAATTATACTCTGTTGGAACTGCTGTTCAAATATCTCTTTCCTTGTTTTGTTTTTTTTTTTGCCTCTTCAGAATACTAGTAGCAGGACGGGAAGCCTGTTTCTCTCTTCGCTGTCATAAGCTTACTCTTAGTAAAACGAGAACTCTTCGAAGCTTTGTGAGCAGTGGAGTTACATGAGCTGACTTCCGGGTTTACAAAGGTTCCTCTGGCCACTGTGCCGAGAGCAGACCCTGGGTAAGGGGGAAGCAGGAGGGTCCAACGAAAAGGCCGTTGCCGTCTGATATGTGAGAGGGGATAAAGGGGTTTTGGACAAAAGTAGCAGAAGAGGTGGTAACAAGTATTGTGACCTGGATGTATTTTGAAAGCAGAGCCGGCACGACTTCCTGACAATTCCGATGTGGTTTGTGAAAGAAAGAGAGGAACCAAGGATTAATAGGTGTTTGGCCTGCACAACTGGAAGGAAGGAGGTACCATCAATGAAGATGGGGAAGAATGAGGTGAAGCCAATTTGGAGAAAGATCAAGAGGTCAGTTTTGGAAATGTTGAGCTTGGAGTGTCTGTTACACATTTGTATTTCCTTCGTTCCTTCCTTCGTTCCTTTCTTCCTTCCTCTCTGTCTCTGTCTCTCTCTCTTTCACCCTGCCTTTTTCCTGTGTAACAAATTACCGGAAGTGGAGTGGATTCAAATTAATACCCACTTACTGTTTTTTAGGGCAGAAGGCAAGTGGTGTATGGCTGGATTCTCTGTTCAGGATTTCACAAGACTGTAATCAAGGGGTTGGTAAGGCTGAGTTCTTGTCTGAAAGCCCTGGGGAGCAATCCACTTCTAGTCTCATTTAAATTGTTGGCAGAATTCAGTTTCTTGTGGTGGTTGGACTGAGATCCCTGTTCCCTTGCTCGCTGTCAGGTGGGAGCCGCTTTCAGCAACGAGAGGCCACTGTGAAGTCTTTGCTCCACGGCCTTCACCTTCAGCAATGGAAAATTTCCCTCATGTTGAATTCCTTTCATACTTCAACTTTCTGACTTCTTTTTCTGAGATCAGCTGGAGAAAACTATCATGTGATTAGGTCAGGCCCACCTGGATATCTCTCACCCCCCCATCTTAAAAAATTTTTTTTTACAGTTTACCTGAATTTTATTCTAAGTATCAAGAAACCCGAAGAGCTATGTATAACAAATTATTACTAGAAAACACAAGTAACTGTTCAAAAAAGAACAGACAATTCGATTAAAGTATAAGTAGTAGCAAATGCTTAACCATCCTATATTATTTCTGCCCTTTTCTGGAAATATTACTTTATTAAAGTATAACTGACATATAACATCATATTAGTTTAAGATATACAGCATAATTATTTGATATTGGTGTACACTGAGAAATGATTAAGACAATAAGTCTGGTTATGATCATCACCATGAAGGGTTAGAAATTTTTTCTTTTTTTAACCTTAGGATGAGAATTTTCAAGATCTACTCTCTTAGCAACTTTCAAATATGCAATAAAATATTATTAGCTATAGTTACCAGGCTGTATATTATATCCCCATGACTTATGCATTTTATAACTGTGACTTTGTAGCTCTTGATCCCCTTCACTCATTTTACCCACCTCCTTACTCCCCCCACCCCCCTGGCAACCACCAGTCTGTTCTCTGTTATCTATGAGTTCTTGTTTTGTTTTGTTTTTTAGATTCCACACGAAAGTGAAATCATATGGTATTTGTCTTTCCCTGTCTTACTTAACTTCACTTAGCATAATACCCTCAAGGTCTATCCATGTTGTTGCAAATGACAAGATTTCGTTCTTTTTGATGGCTGTGTAATATTCCATTGTTCATATATATACCACATCCTCTTTATCCATTCACCTATCAGTGAACACTTAGGTTGTTTCTGTATCTTGGTTATTGTAAATTATGATGCACTATGCATAGTGGTGCATCTATCTTTTCAAATTAGTGTTTTCGTTTTCTTCAGATAAATACCCAGAAGTGGGATTGCTGAATCATATGGTAGTTCTGTTTGTTTTTTTTTTTTTTAAGATTTATTTATTTATGAGAGAGAGAGAGAGAGCATGAGTGGGAAGGGCAGAGAGAGAGGGAGAGAGAATCTCAAGCAGACTCTGGGCTGAGTGTGGAGCCTGACATGGGGCTCGATTTCATGACCTGAGCCAAAAGTCGGACGTTCAACCAACTGCACTAGCCAGGCGCCACAGTATTTCTATTTTTAATTTTTTGAGGAAACTCCATACTGTTTTCCATAGTGGCTGCACCAGTTCACATTCCCACCAACAGTAAATGAGGGTTCTCTTTTCTCCACATTTTTGCCAGTACTTATTATTTCTAGGTTTTTTTTTTTTCTTTGATAATAGCTATTCTAACAGATGTGAGGTGATAGCTCACTGTGGTTTTGACTTGCATTTCCCTGATGATTAGTGATGTTGAGCATCTTTTCATGTGCCTGTTGCTCATCTGTATGTCTTTTTGGGAAAATGTCTATTTAAATCCTCTGACCATGTTTTATTTAATTAATTTATTTTTTTAAATTTTATTTTATTTTATTATGTTATGTTAGTCAC